AATCTATCTTCCATCTTACCGGGTTGAAATAGTATATTGTGTATCAAGTGCGGAAAGTTGACAATTGGTCACGGTGCGGGAATAGCCGTGTTCAAAGTCATTGTCCACGTCTTTGAACACGGCTTATTCACTCACCGCGTCGCCGCTAGATGGCGGCGTGGGAAATCGGCCGCTTTCCGCACAGAAAACACGCACACAAAGTGCCACTTTGCCTGCACGTGTAATACAAAATTCCTTCCTCCCTTCCCTCATCCTCGGGATAGGATAGCATCTCTCCTCGTTCTATCTTTGCCACCCCATTCGCCTTCTCGCAATCCGACTAGGAAGGAGCAGCACATTCCCTATTACCGAGATAAGATACCGATCGCGACGCACGTACATTCACCGGGTACTAATCCACGTGGTGGTCTGATAATTGAGCGAACGCCTGGTCGCCGGAAATACGTAACAGCCGTTACTGTCACGGTAACGTCGATGCAGGATTACAAGTCGCCGGTCGTCCTTGCGCTCGTAACCAAGGGTCAATTTGCGATACCCATAAATCACGCAGGGATCACCGGAAATATCCGCAGCGACACGATTTTACAGAGCTACGGCGAAATTACGACGACACTTTTTTCCCCGAAAGATCAAAGTGTCACGACACACATTTTAGAAAACACTGCTTTAATAAGCTAAAAAAGCATCTGTCATTGTAAGAAAGATAATTCATAAATCATAAATCTTATTTTTCTAAGAAATTATAATTTCTAAATTTCTAATTTTACAATTGGATATTAATATAGGACATTCGAAATGTTTATTCTCCTGCGAAACGCTAATTATTTTTTAACACAATTTATTAAATTTGCTTCTGCGGCTTTTAGTCGTGGCTGTAACTGAAGAACTCCTATGAGACTAGTTGGACATTAACTGAGGTACTCTAATTTATAGTTCGCCGTTGTAAACGAAATGTCGCGCGTGTTTTCATAATTAGTTGCGTCGTATAATGAAAATTCAGCATCATTATGAAAATTTGTAATTATTTATTGTCCCTATGTTCCTGTAGTGAAACATGTTTTAATTATTAACGCTCGCACGAAGGTCCATCCGTCAGTTTCATGATTATCGCAACGAGACCAGTTAACTTTCCAACTTAACTTTTCATTAGTGAAATCAAAATGACTTATCGACCATTACAGGTATTCTTAACGCGTCATTTGAATTGCACGCAATAAACGACAAATGCAATTGCATGTATTCGGTTTCGAAGCCAGGCTTCTCTTCCGGGTATTTCGCGATAAATCTCGATTAATCCAATCGAAGAGCCGTCACGTGGGCCGCCGGCACGTGACCAATCCCAAGGAACCGATTGCCAATCGCCGCTCAATTCGCCGGAATAGACCTTCTCGTTTAGTTAACCTGGTCGGTTCTTTGATTAGTTAACCCACTCTCGTCTTTGTTCGCGAAAGGGGATAGACAAGACACGGCGGGAGAGATGCAGAGACTCTCCCTGGAGAGTTCTCTACACCGTAGTATATAGAGACACCCTCTCCTTTGCTACCCTATTTCTCCCCAGGATCTCTCGCACTCCATGGACCGAGATGAGAGTGGCCGCTCGGTCGGAAAATCGCTTTAAACCGCGCCGACTAATATTAACTTTCTCCTATCGTTTCGCGAAATTCCCGAACTCTTTTCTCTCTCTCTCTCACTCTCTCCGTCTCTCTTCCATCTCTCGCGTCCCAGCATCCACCGGGATCGCAAAAGCTTCCCCTTCCCATGGGGAAGGGAACCACCATCGCGATCCGAAATTTCCTTATTTGCCTTATTTCGTACGGCCGGCCAATCCGGCTTTGTGTAAACTTCGTTTTATCCCGCAAACGGTGAATGTTTTTCTCCTCTTCTCCTTTCGTTCTCTCTCTCTCTCTCTCTCTCTCTCCTTGCCACTCTTTCGCGATCGATACGGCGGAAAATTTTGCAACGAGAGAAGATGGATCGGCAGGAGAGAGTCCAAGCTAAGCATTATCAAGGTGATCGTGATATTTCAAGGTCGTATATAATTAACCACCTCCGTCGTGTGATCGATCGGGGAACTTTTGGGATCCGCGAACGATGACTATTACTATTAAAGTTCGGTGATTTATAGTCGGCGGACAGAGAAGAGAGAAGATGGAGGAGAATAGAGAAGAGAGTCCGGCGCATCGGGTCACTATTTCAACCGGCGAACTTTATGCAAACGATTTTACGGTGCAACAAACTGTCACATCTTTCCCCATCTCGCTTCCTCTCTTTCCCTTAACAGCATGAAACGCTAATGCTCTTTCCGCTCATATAGCCAGCTACATTCTACGATGAATATAACTCACGCGAGGCGGCTAACCGCCCAGCTAAAGCGCCATGGCGTGGATCCGGTACATATCCAAGTGCGAAAAAGCGGAAGTGTCGTCCTCGCTCGAGACGAGGCTCTTTGCTCTTTTGCAGAAACTCGCGTCCGGACGCGTCGCTCGCGCCAACTCAAATTTTTCGATTAGTAATCCGACAATGTGCTCAGAACTCTGCCTTTATATGCAAAACTTATTTGCATACCTGATGCGATATGTATATGTGATAGTTTCATATTCTTGTACTTGCAAATGTTCAGCGTCGTACTACCGTACATTTTATTAAATAAATTAAAAAACGTCAAATCTCCTTTTAAAATCAAATATGTATAGTCAAACAAGCGAATTATATTTACATCAGTTTAGCTTAATTATTTAAATTGATGTCTAAGCAAATTTTCAAGCTAAAAAAGAAAAAGTTTGTCATATCCATTTAGCATATTGGCAAATAAAAATTATGACAAATTTTTTCCATATATTTAGTACACTCAAAAAAATTATTAAATTAATAAACGTTTATTTCAATATATATTTTTCACATCAAATCAATATTATTAGACAGTATTAAAATAAATATTCGAATTTAATATTATACATTTTTTTCAGTGAAGATGTCGGCTTTAAAATCATTAGCAAAAGCTTGCATCAACTTGCTCCGAATTAAAATCAAAGCGAAATATTCAAAATTTCTATTTAATCGCTAAGAAAATAACATGACGCGTTTATGAGAATAATATGAATTCAAGTCCATAATGCTTTCGCGAGAAGGATCAAATGAACGCACTGACAGTAGACGGAAAATATTGACCCGCATATCAGATTTTAATCAACCGTTAAGAGTAAAAATATTGGCGGAGAGTCGCGTGTCGTCGCGAGGAGGAGAAAATTAGAAGGAAAGTTCGAGATGATGAATTCGCGAGCGACAGAGGCGCGATCGAGGGACAGGAGCAACAGAGTGTCCCGCGGAAGAAAGGACACCTCAAACACACGCATAATCCGCGCGAAATTACTGCGTGGCGGCGAAAAGCTCCGGCGTAAGTTTCGAAAGCGGACGAGCCCCCGTGCACACGTTTAAATATGTACTCTAGGGTGGCCAAACACACCGGGTAGTCTTTTATACGTGAGCGGCGCGCGCAAGCACATACAAGCTGTATGTGCTAAAATATCCATGGCGACATACATACATACGTCGCGTATACAGTCCGCGCTGCGCAAAATGCAGCGTTAATCCCGCCGTTCGGATGGAAAGCGCGAGCTTTCTCTCTCTCTTTCTATCTGCGAAAAATTCCGTCGAAAAGCGCACGGCTAAATACACGCGCATACAAAATGCGTATGTGTGTGCAGGTCGTTCCAGAGTCTGTCCTTTCCCTTCAGGGACCATCTCTGAATTACGTAAGCCTTTTGGCAAGGCAGAGGCCTCTGACAAGATAAAAATTCTTCTCGCCAAAAAATCATTGTTCGTCTTCATCAACTGATCGTAACTATTTTATAAATATTAATGAAAATATAATTTGATGTTTTGGAAAAGTGCCTTATTTATGTTCAATTTTTCATCTCTAAAACGGTGTTAAAATATTAAAAAACCTTATAAGTAAACTTGTAAAAAATTATGGAGAGGATCGAAAATCGCTAAAAAAAGGCTTATATATAATTTAGGAATGATCAAGTTTATACTTGAATTTCAATAATAAAAATAAATGGCTATACATTAAGATTTTCCACTCGATGTGCTACTGCAACAAGAATTCACGTTTGACGTTTAATTGTCAAAGTTGAAAAATTGCTAGAACGATGATGGATTTCTATAAAATTCTCGGCAAATCGACTTTAAATTTGTCAGTGCGCAGCCGAAACGATATTCAATAACGATATCCTGTATACATATATATATATAGCCTGTATATGAAATAAATCATATTCGTAGCGAATATGTCTATAAAATATTTGACCGAATATTTTTCCATTCTCGATATGATAATTTCTAATTCACTTTGTGGCCATTCGCGGCCATACATCGCCGCAATAAAATCATCCTCTACTTCGCTTTGCGCAGATAAAATGCTTAATATTTTAATCGCTCGTTTAACGAACGGAATGCCCGTGAGAATATTTCGCGCTTTGCAACGCGTCCAATCAAAATAGTCGATTGAGTTTTTAGTTTTAATAATCGATTGCAAAAATATTCGACCGAATGCCGGGGATTTTGGGAAACGGCTTTATTCATCGAATGATCCTTTATGAATAAATATTATTGAGTAAACACATGTAATCCTTAGGTATTAGAAACGGAGAGCTTAATATGAATTTTGAATTAAAACATTATTTTTCTATAATTATTTATAAAATTATTTTTCGCGCCTATTGAATATAAATCTTTAATATTCAAAAAATGTTGGAACTGCCAAACATGAAATATTGCATGTGGTGAAAATATTTTTTGTAACATTATTTATATCTAAAGAGGGAGGAAAAAAAAGACAAATCACTTGTTGTATTATACCGGATGAGATAAATCTGAACTGATAAAGTGCACAGGAGTCTTTGAACTGTTAACGTATTAATAACGGCACGTTGTTTTTCTCCAGGCACGCATGTTTAATACCCTGCGCATACCGCATAAACTTCCTTTTCACATTACAGTATAATGAACAACAACAGTGTGGAGCAGCCGGATCCGGACAACATAAAGATGTTTGTGGGACAAGTACCTCACGACATGGACGAGAATGACCTGAGGACGATGTTTGAAGAATATGGTCGAGTGCATCAGATAAATATTCTGCGGGATAAAATCACCGGCAGTCATAGAGGTAAGTGACTAAAAACAACTTCCAGCATCGCTTGCTTGCGATGCGTGCTTAAAGTCGTTTCAGATGCAAAGTTTCGCAGTTAATGGGAAAACAAGAGAAAGCGTATTCGCATAATTTTGCTCTTGATTTAAAAAATAATGTGTTTACAATGTCAGAGAGAACGATAAAACGCGTTAAAATATGGCTGCATACCGAGATTAGTATTTTGCGGATGCGTATTTTGTAATATAAAAATAGATGAAAATTTTTCGAAAAATTGAATATATTTTATATTCTTTATATTCGTATAAATGGACATTTTGTACATTATTATCTTTAATTTCTGCTAATTACGTCAATACGATAATTACGATAAAATATCGTAGAATATGTCATAAAGAGAACGTATAGGGTAAAGTAAACGGGATGTAATATATTTAACACTACTTAATTAACAAATAATCGGAATACCATCTAGTTTTTAAAACCCATTCTTGAGGTTAAATTATACCAATAAGTCCATTGATTGAATTAATTTGCCTAAAATCATATTTTCGACTATTATGATTAAATGGATCCATCATCGTTTTCGATTTAATCGAATTTTCAATATACTTGACGTTGTGGCACTTTGCTATTATTGCAGGATATGAATATGCTGAAATTAGTCATTGTTCTGTGGATAATTTGATCTTTTTGCAATTCTGATCTATTTGAAAATCGAGTAAAGCATAATAATGAAATAGTCCTACATATGACTTTAATTGCTATTCAATCTTTGCAGTATTACATTTTCTTTGCACATATATAATAAAATTATATCAATAAAATCATTTTTTGGGAGATTTGAATTGTAATTAAAATAAAATTAGAAATATATTAAAAAGAGATATAACATTTTGAATAAAATTATTTTGCGAGCTAAATGTAAGGCCACGACAAATGGATAATTGAATTTGAACTTTTCTATTAACATTGCGTTATTAAAGGGAATAAAAAAGGCATACATATAAATCAATAAAGCCTAGAATGACCGTGCCGTTACGAGCTTTTCTTAGTACATACGTGCATCGATCGCGGTGGAAAAGCAAAGGGAAGATAAGCCAGAAAGCAATTCTCGCGAGACCCTCGCAATACAGTCCGAATACAGGCGCACTTGTAACAGGGCTGTCACTAAAATATGCACGCGCTCGCCGGTAACGAGCTTTAACTCTCGCTAAACGTCATCCGCATTGGCGAAAGTTTGCGCAATTACTTTCACTGTACAGATGACTTCAAGTTTGCGGCCGGTGCGGAAGTCAGGCGTCGCGTCATTACACGATTGTTCGGTATATATCTAGGGTTATCGATTTCTCGACGCGTATGAAACGACCGAAACTCACCATGGAGATTGCCAAGAGTCATTACATACGTATCGATATAAAATTCCCACTCCCAAAAAAGTGAAAAAAAGAGAAATATTCAATTTTATTCAAATATTGTATCGTCGTAACAATGACAGTAGAATTAAATTAGAGCCATAATAACACATACAAATTTTGCTGTTGAAAATAGATGCGTAAAGAAAAATTATTTCCTACTCTGTTGAAAGATTAATGATTATCTTTTGCACATCGTTCAAGGTTTCTCGCGGTTGTTTTTGAAATAATTTATGGTTATGTACATAAAGAGGAGAGAAATTTTAATCCTATTTTTGATAAAAAATGATTTCTGAAGATTATTAGAAAATATTTTTCAGAGAAATTTTTAGTACATAAATCTATCCAGTACGGACATAAATATATATATATATATATATATGTATATGCCATATATACATATGATTTTGCGTTTCTTAGTGATTTAAACAGATTTTCTTGACGCAACAGCCTTCAGAAATCTCCAGCAGATAAGTAGATCTGTATGTAAAATGTACGCGATGCACTATCCGGAGTCGGAAGGCGCGAAACGTTGGGATTCTGAGAACTTCCGGAATAATTAATATGAGCGAATTGTAAACGTCATGCGCACCTGCAAAATTGATGGCGGCAGGTAGTACAACTGGGATGAAATTCGTTCCCTATTGTGAAAATTTAACTTGATTACCATGACGTAATGGTGAATTAATGTCCCGCTCGCGGGCCGTTTGTTTAATGCACCGCATTTTAGATTCGAAATCTCTGTCAACGTGGAGTTTCAATTTCACAGCATAAAACAGAGGCTAATTATTGCTTTCCGATAAACTTCTAGCTGACAATTGTCGTATTAGACAATTTCTTCTTCGTCGTCTATCAGCCTCTGTCGCTGAATATTAATTTTATTTACCATTTCTTGCAAGGAGATGGACCAATTATCCAATTTTCCGAATGTTTTGCCAGTTTATGCCAAATACCGTCGGAGAGTCTGCGAAGTCTTATCTCAAAGCGGCGAGCTGCTATCGGCTTAAATTATTAATATTACTTAAATAAAAAGCACGCGCCGGAATAATACGCTCGACATAGCGAGCTTGCTCATCTGATGCTGACTAAACAGCGAAACGGAAGGTAAATTCCACAATACATCGAGGCGCTTTATCTCGTCGGTGGGAATAAAACGCGCTGAAATTTCCAGAAATTTTATATTAATTAAGCCGCGGAACCCCGAGCTTGGAATAAGCTCTACTAAAAATTAACAAAGAGTTCCTATGGCATATATATTTGATTTACACGAGAATAATTTTAAACTTTAAATTATTCACAGAGGTATTCGTAATGCCATGTCATGAAAAACATTTTTTCGGCCATTCCATTGGTGATTACGATGTTATAATTCATTTCCCGTTTAATTTTCGACGTTTCCTGTGCAAAATCAGTTCTAAATCAGTTTAATTTTGTTGAGCAAGAATAAAAAAAATATTTTAATCAAAGGGTAAAATAGAAAAAAACATATGTGAGTAAGGTACAGCATATAATGTAATTAAAAACTTTTACTTTCTTTTTCTTAATTAATTAAATTATCTCCCAGTTATACATCGAAATTTTAATCGCACGATTGAACATTATATATGTAATTGTTTTATTTTTATTCTTGTATCAATATAATTCGTATCTCGGTTTCTCTCTCTCTCTCTCTCTCTCTCTCGAAGAATTTCAGATTTAAATATAGTTTACAACTACAAGGCCATTAAGCAAAACTATGCTTTAAAAATGCCAGTGAAAGTTCTTTCGAAGTACTTTATCTTGGCTTGCTTTTATTTACTTCATGGCAACTTTATTCACAGCGACCTATCGAGCAGAATAAAAGTGCTTAACGACTAATAGACTTTTTCGCATTTTAATCTTTTTGTTTTGAAATTATTTGTACGCAGGATAAATTATCTCAAATATATATTTGTTGCTTACATATTTCGCGCGGTCGTATATATTAATAATATGATATTAACTACGTGTATTTGATTTATTTTTCGGAATTGGTCTCTGGATTCGCAAATTCGTATCCACACAATAACTTTACGAAAAATTAAATAAGAAATATATGTCGGCTCTCAATATTATTAATAATAATAATACATGAATTTTTTTAAATCGGCCAATAGAGCCCAAGCGCGAAAAATTAATTCTCCATATGTAAGTTCGAGATTAATTTATATATGAAACTTAGTAATCTCAAAACCAAGAGATACAGTTCCGAAGAATTAATTTTTCGCGCTTGGGCTCTATTGGCCGATTTAAAAAAAATTCATGTATTATTATTATTAATAATATTGAGAGCCGACATATATTTCTTATTTAATTTTGGGCTCTATTGGCCGATTTAAAAAAAATTCATATATTATTATTATTATTTACGAAAATTATTTCGAATATTATATATATAGCGTATTAAACAATATATGGTATAACGCAAACCGAGCTATATGTTCACTCATGAAGAAGAGAATTAAATGGCGAAGTCGTCTACTTCTAAATCAATACCACTAAAACGAACAACTCATGGAATGTTCAATTTGATGGGTCAATAAGAGACAGCAAACTCGCAGCGAACTCCCTTCATGCCCGATTAAAACAAGTGCGGAACCGTGTTCGCAATGAAGACGCTCGAGATTGCCATCGTAGCCAATATATCGGAATCCCGAAAGTGTCCGACTGCGCCGCTTCTTGTCGCAAAGTAGCGGAATTCGATACTTCGTTACTTTGTGAGACGCAATACGGGAACGAGAACGACGAGGGACTTCTCTGCAAACACAGAGAGACGAGAGAAGACGCTGCTGCGCTGTCGCAGAATTTTCAGCGCGGAATTCCGTTAGCTTCCGCCCGGGCGAAAAGACGTCGGGAAATGTTTTAGTTAAATTAACAGAAGTCTCTCTCTGTCTCTCTCTTTGCGCGCGTGGCCATGTTTCTCCCCGTGTTGATCGCGAATTTCTCTTCGACCGGCTTCCCGTTGTCTGCGAGGATATACGATATCGTCGCGAGGCTCGCATTTTCGTTCGAAAAATCTCTTCGCTCGGAAAATCTCCCCACTCCAGCCGGAAGAACGCGAGATCGATCCCTTCCCTTTCCTCCTTCGGCCTTTCTCCCTTTTCCTCCATCCTCCCTTCATCCCGCTCGTTATGCTCAGAAATACACCCCGCTATTAATCACGCAGCCCTATTAATCGTTCTTAAGTCGCGCCATGTTTGCGCCGAGCCTTGCTCTTTCACGTTGAAGAAAGCCCAACTTTGTCGACGTGACTGTCTTTAAGGACCGATATAGAGATCGGTTCTATTATTTGTCAGTCGTGTTCAGTGCCCGAAAAAATCGATATCCTTCTTAAAGGGGATCATTTCTTCTTATAATTTGCGCTATATATTTATTTTAATTTTTTCTATTTTTCTATAAAATAGATTTTAAAAATTTATATATGTATTATGTGTGTAAATTATATATTCCTTGAATTTTTTTATGCTAGCATATTTAAAATATATAATTAATAATATATAATTAAATATTATTATTATTAATATTTTTATTTTTTAATAGAAAAAATAGAAATATATTTAAAAATATATATATATATGGATTATG